ATTCCTCTTAGGAGTAGATCCCTTAAAGGACTCACCCAAGACTAGCAGAGAAACTCGCCCATGGAGAGCGACGGGCATTACTTGTCCACATCCGTCAAAGAGCAAGCCTTATGTTGGGCGACCGAGAAGTTCCTTACCAAGCAAATAGATCACCACTCATCTCAGTAGGATCCACCGCCTTCGAGCTTGCCATACTTAGGTACAGGAAAATGCCTACCCTAAAGACTTCAAACTCCATTTGACTGTCACTATTAGGCTTTGGTACTCTTTCTCTATGCAAATACCTCTGCTCGCCTTTCAAGACAAGGCGACCTCAAACTCACTACACCAGTTGCCGACCTGATCAGACGATTCACTAGCTATGGGTCCATCTCTTCTCGGAACTCGCATGTCTTGAGCTACTCGATGAAAGACAACTCTCCAGACAATAATTTCACCCTCTTGTAACCAATTAGGAGGCAACATATATCCTTGATTAGTGTGTGGCATGATATGGGTATTTTTTGTAGTTTGTACTTTTTATTTTTCTCTATATAGCCTTTCAGGAGGTGACACGTGTCCTACTAGAAATGTTATAGGTGTGATTAAATAAGAGTTTGAAGGATAATGTTGTAGAAATTAATAGAATTGAAGATAGAACTATAGTTGTAATGTTTGTTGTTGATGTTAAGATTATTAATATTATAAGTGCTTATGCTCCCTCAAGTAGGTTTGGATATGTATTCAAAATTTAAATTTTGAAATGACTTAGAATAATTAATACAAAAGATACCTCTCAAAGAAAAAGTTTTTAATGGAGGAGATTTAAATGGACATGTTGATAGAGAAGTTGATGATTTTAAAAACATTCATGACGGCTATTGGTTGGAGAGATTAATGAAGATGGTAAGACCATATTAAATTTTTCTTTTGCTTATGATTTTGTAATTACTAATATCTTATTTAAGAAAAATGATGATCATCTTATCACTTATAAGAATGAATATAGTAAAATTTAGATTGATTGTTTTCTTATAAGAAAAATAGATCGTTTAAATTGCAAAGATTGTAAAGTTATTTTGAGTGAAAATTTATGTACACAATACCGCTTATTAGTTTGGACTTTAAGATAAAGGGGCAGAAAACAAAAAAATAAAGTAAAATTTTACTCTAGGATTAGATTGAGGTATTTAAAAAATATTAGCAAAAATATTTTTGAGAGTAAAATTTTAGATCTTAAGATTTTGTCTATGCATAAGAAAACTAATTTATGTGAGAAGAATTAGCTAGTGATATTAAGAATATTGTAAAAGATGTGTTTGGAGTATCAAAGGGAAAAGCTCCTAATAATAAAATTAGTTAATGATGAAATCAAAATGTGCTGAAAAAGATAAAAAATAAGAAAACTTATTATAAAAAATTATTTTAGATATAAAAATTCTAATAATTGGGAAAGATATAAAGATGTCTGTAAGGAGTCTAAGAAAGCAATATGTAATGCAAAGATTTTAGTTTTTAATGTTTTATATAATAAATTAGATACTAAGGAGGGCGAAAGATATATCTATAAGCTAGTCAAACAAAGAGATATGAGTAGTAAGAATTTAGTTCAACTGAAGTGCATTAAGGATGAAGATCAAAAAGTGCTTTTATTAGAAGAGCATATTCAACAAAGTTGGCTGAGATATTTTGCTAAACTTTTCAATGAAGATTGTGAGAATACGATTAATTTTAGTGACTTTAGCATCCTAAATGAATATAAAGATTTTCATTTTTATCTGCTTATTAGTAAAAACAAAGTTAGAGAAGCTTTAAAGAAAATGAAGTGTGGAAAAGCTGTTGGACCTGATGATATTCTAATAGAGTTGTGGAAATACTTAGGAGATGAAATAATTTCTTTGCATACTAAACTTTTTAATATTATTTTTGAAGACAAAAGATGTCAGATGAGTGGAGAATGAGTGTGTTGTTTCTTATTTTTAAGAATAAAGATGATGCACAAGATTGTGTGAATTATAGTGAAATTAAGTTCATGTGTCATACTTTAAAATTATGGGAGAGAGTTATGGAGCATAGGTTGCGGCATGATACTAATGTTTCTCAAAATCAATTTGGATACATGTTGGTAGGTCTACTATGGAAGCTATATATTTATAGAGAGATTTGATGGGGAAGTTTAGACAAAATAAGGATGATCTACCTATGATATTTATTGATTTAGAGAAAGCATTTTATAAAGTTTCAAGAGACGTGATATGGAGAGTTCTAGAAAAGAATGATGTTGATAATAATTATATTTATGTCATTAAGGATATGTATGCATGAGCTATTACTTGTGTTCAAACACAAGGTGGTTTGACCAAGTATTTTTCTATTTCAGTTGGATTTCATCAAGGATCAACCTTAAGCCCTAATCTTTTTGCTTTAGTCATGGATGTTCTCACTAGACATTTGCAAGTGGTTACACCCTGGTGTATTCTTTTTGTTGATGATATTCTTCTTGTTGATAAGACTAGAGAGGGAGTTGAAGGTAAATTTGAATTATGGAGGTCAACCTTAGAGTATAAAGGTTTTCATTTGAGTAGATCTAAAACTGAATATATAGAGTGTAATTTTAGTAGTAATAGATCTAATGGGGGGATTGTGACTTTGGACAATCGAGTCATTAGTAAGAGTAAACATTTTAGATATTGTGGGTCTATTATTCAGAGTGATCTTGAAATAGATGACGATATTATTAGTAGAATTCAAGTTGGATGGTTGAAGCTTGAGGAATGCATTGGGCTTATTGTGTGATAAAAAAGTTACCCTCAAACTAAAGGGAAAATTCTATAAGATGGTGGTGAAACCTACAATGTTTTATGGTGCAGAATGTTGGCCATTAAAAGAGAGGAATAATATTAAGTATTGCAGAGATGAGGATGCTCAGGTGGATGAGTGGCTTTACTCTTAGAGACATGATACAAAATGAGCATATACGTGAAAAGGTTGGAGTGGCTCCAGTGGAAGATAAGATTAGAGAGTCACCTTAGATAGTTTGGTCATATTAAACGGCGGCCTTCCGATGACCCGGTTAGGAAAGTAGATGTATTAGATTTGGCTTATGTTAAGAAAGGTGGAGGTAGACCTAAAAAGACTTTGTTAGAAAATATTAGAAATGACCTTTTTTTAATAGATTTAAATGAGATTTGACTCTTAGCATGATACAATGGAGAAAAATAATTTACGTAACTGACCTCATGTAGTGGGGTAAAGGCTTGATGTTGTTGATGTTGTTGTTGTTGTTGTTTTGTATAACCTTTCCAGAGTGGCTCCAGAGGCAAGCGAGTAAACCACCTCATGATCTACTCGAGTGTCGTGAAAAAGAGGCGACACTTAAGGGTATCGTTTATGGCTAGCAGAGAGGTCATAGACTCGAAAGTTGCCACATGGTCTGTGGGATCAGTTTTGCCTTTGTATGAATGCCATCATCAGACTTTGGCTAGCCAACCACCATCATCGGACCTTGGCCACCCAATAGCCTCAATCAGGCTATTATCTTTCCACCATCATCAAACCTTTGCTAGCTGACCATCACCGTAATACCTTTGTCAGCCGACCACCGTTGTTAGGTCATTAATGTCATTGGACCTTCATTGTTGAACCTTCGTCGTCGAACCACCAGTTGACCATTGTTACCCGGTGTTTGTCAGCTTATTGCTGCCATCAAACCTTTGTCGCCCAACCATCACTATCGAAACTTCGTCGATTGGTCGCCGTCATTGCACCATCCAATCATCATCGTTAGACTTTTGATGTCCGACCACCACCATTGGACCTTCACCATCGTCAGATCTTCGCTGCCCAACCATCATTGTCAGACTGCTATTGTCTGATCACTATTGTTGAGCAATCGTCATCCAACCAATACTATCAGGCTGTTGTTACTCTGCCACATACATAAAAAATAAACTCTTACCACATTTTCTGCAAATTCTTAAACTCTTTAGTGTTGTCATCTCCAAGTTAAGGGATAGGTAAATATTTGCAACTAACAAACATGGTGAAATCATTACAGCTGAGCTAGGCCTCATAATTTTTTCTCTTTCTAGGTTTTTCATGTAAAAAATTTGATGTCACCCGTCCTCTATTCATTTTTCTATTTGTGTGTTGGATATTTGTACGTAATTTAGATACAAAAATTCTCTTATTTTACTGATGCAAATTTTCTAGTTCGCAGCAGTAGTATAAAGTTTTGATAGTTGAAAAAAATAAATGCGCCAAAATGAACAGTTTATGATAATTTTAGCAGGCTTGTTATGTTGTGATTGTAATTGACACTAAGAAATTCTATGATTTTGAATCTACAAAACTTCTAGCAATTTTTTTATTTGGGTTGCTGATATTGCAGTAACTTTAGCTTATTCGTTGATATTCTTTTTCTTGTCTTGAACTTGTGGTTATGGTTTCTTATTCGGTTGTGGTGACAATTTTATATGATATTACAATTCTGCCTGATTGCATGAGTTAGTTATACACAGTCGTACATTATAACTAACACCTCTTCGTAGTCTATACACAGGCTTCTGAAACCTCTTTACCTTGTGTATTAGGCCACTACTAGATTATTTTTGTTGAGAATAATATCTAACACATGGTGATGAATTTGGACTGGACTCTTTGAAGGGAAAATTTTCTATCTTCAGAAATTCTTAATCCCTATATTGCAGCTTGGGCTAGATTTTTGTAAAGCCAAATTAGATTGATCATAAGTAATTTTATTCAGAGGCTGATGTGAAAAGTCTTAGACTCCGTTTGGGACAGCTTTAGACAATTGCTTTTTGTCTTCTTTTAAGAAATTTTTTAACTAAAATGTAACTTTAGAAAGCAATTGGAAAGCCGTCCCTCTTGTTACTTTTTAATACAAAAATTTTTTGTACTAGAATTCTGTTTTAGAAAACAGTAAAAATGTTATTCCAAATAAAACTTTCGCATCTAAAAACCTGTGACATTTTTATAACAAAGTTGTTGGATGCTAACAGGGTTAACAAGGCAAGCAGGGTTGCAGGAGTGCTGGAGAACTTTTCAGAAGGGGAGAAATACGCTGAACATTCTCTCAGAAAATTTGTCCGTGGAAGATCTCCAGAAATCATGCCAAGTCTTAACAGCTTCTTCTCGAATCCAAGTAATTAAAGGTTTGTTGCTTCAGGAAAAGATGATCCTGAATGTATTTCTGCTATGTTTGCTTTGGATTGTGATATCAATACTTGTAATAATGTCCTCAACGTTTGAAACGCAACTGTTATGATCGTTGTAAGTGCCTATTGAGGTTGTTTGAGTGTTTGAAGGCTTAAATTGAACCAATATTTGTTTCTGGTTTATTCTGTTCTAGCTTTGATAATGAGCTTTGGTTGCTACCTGAAATGAGAAAGGAAGCTTAGCAGATCGTGATGGTTTTTAACTTTAAAAACAATTGATGGGATGATTAATATGTTGCCTCTGATTCTTTATTTGTTTTAGCTCTGGATTGAGAGAAGTGAAAGAGAGATTAAGATTTCGCTTGAATGATTTTTTGACTATTTTTTAAAGTAATTTTTTATTACAAAATTTTTTTGTTTATTATACTAAAATATTATTTTAGAATACAGCAAGAAAGTCATTTGTGTCATTACAAATGAAGATTAAAGTTTTGTTTGGAAATATTTTCTTACTGGTTTTTAGAATAATTTTTAATATAATTTTTTGAATTAAAAAATATTTAAAAACTAATAAGAAAGTTATCTCAAATAAAACATAATTTTTTCAGCCATTCATTTTTTTAATTGAAAAAAAAAAAAACAAATTGAGTTTTTCTTTATTATAGAGATAACTTCGTTTATACTGATGCGAATTATAAAGATCTGATTTTGTTTTATTTTTCATTAGAATTGGGTAAAACATTGGCAAAAAGATGATTATTTCATCTTTGTTACAGCAAAATTGTTAAGTTAAACGTAGGCATATTTGACCAATTACATCAAGCCAAGCATATTCTTAATGGTTAAATAAAGTACAAGAGACATCCCTTGCTGCTGCAAGATTGTTGCATTGCTCCTTATGACTAGTTTAAAATGCAAGTAAATATATCAATACCAGATGAGCAAGAGTAAATGAGTGAAGATATTCTAATTTTATTTAAATTAGATCTTACTAAGGTTGTGACTCAGTTAAAAAATTTATAGGCCCAAATTCAGCTCGACCAACTTACAAGCTTGAGCTAGAGTATACGCTTAACCAATTTACATATCAATCGAGTAGCTCAACCAGCTTACAAGCTCAAGCTAGAGTAAAAGCTCAAGTTCGAACTCGTTGCTCAATAAACTCGACTCATGAGCTCATTAATAAATCAAACTAAAGCTAAAGCAGGCTTAACTCACATAAACCCCTAACTAGAGCAAGCAAAGCCATATAGAATATAAAATTAAATTAAATGAGCACAAAAACATATTAAGAAGACACATATAAACCAGCTGTTAACATGTTCTGCAATTGAATTCTCTCCAAAAACATCTTAAGAATGGAAGAGCTACCTTTACCTTTCAAACTGAATAAAAGTGCAGATGTCAAAAGTTCTTGCTAGACTTAGGTTTAATTTGGAATGGCTTTCTTACGGCTTTTTAAACTAGCTTTCTAGTACAACAATTAAAATTTTTATACTAAAAAGTTGCTTAAAGACGCAATAAGAAAGCCGTCCCACACGAAGCCTTACTGAATTTGATCATTCAGGCTTTCCATGCAACGAAGCCCTGCCATTCATCATCTGTTACTAGACAAAATTCTCTGAAATCTACAATTGTACATCTAAACATAATAATATCTAATAGCCGATATCATTTTACAGTAAACTGCTGTGTTTTTCATTTTGTAGTTTCCTTTCCAGACCAATATTTATCCCCTTCAGAATTTGTTTTTTTCTGATAACTATATTCATCAATTGCCTTATATAAAGTAAGCAGAATTACCAATTCAAATGACCTCAACCAGAATGCAAATCTATACAATAAATATGCTTCTCCATCTACATGAATCAAAGCTGTTTTTTTTTACTAAAAAACTGTTAAAAAAAGAAATAAGAAAGTCGTCCCAAACGAAACCTTAATCTAACACGAGAAAAATGACCTCAACCAAGAATGCAAATCTATACAATAAATATGCTTCTCCATCTACATGAATCAAAGCTGTTTTTTTTTACTAAAAAACTGTTAAAAAAAGAAATAAGAAAGTCGTCCCAAACGAAACCTTAATCTAACACGAGAAAATTGATTATCAGATCAAAATAGATAGGGTTACCCACAACAAACCAAACAAAATTAGGGCACAACAAACAAACCAAAAAGGTAGGCTGGCACCATTCTGGACTTGTTTGGAATGGTAACAAAATAAATTTCCTGTACATACTTTGGAGAAAATGAATATACACAGAATTTCCAGCATGTACACTCGCATCAACCCAATAGTACTCTCCTTTACAGATCCATGATCCATCTTCTAAAGCAATATTTTTCTACTCTATTTGTAATAGAGCAGAAGTGGAAATTAAATTTAAATCTGATTCAAATTTTGCTTTGGAGCAAATAAATAATAATATTTACAGCAATCCTTTTAGCCAATTTTTACGAAGAGGAACAAAATGATAATTTATATGTTAGAAAGATTTTTTAAGTGATTTAGATATTAAGGTATTATATAAGTAAAGTTCTAACATAATTACACCTTCCATTCTTGTTTCAATAGGACATTTCCCAGTCAATGTGCAAAAAGGATAGTCTTCTATCATTCTTTAAAGCTTAGTTTAAACTTTAAGCTTATCTTAAAAAAATTCTTGAACCGAAGCAATAACCTAATAATTCTCCATCTTAATAAAAAACATATGGTAATATGTTTTAGATTTCCCATGTAACTTTTCTGAGTTTCTCCAAGCCAAAATTTCTAGAACAACTACATAACAAAAACAAACCATTACCCTACTACACGGGGACAGTACATGAATCTTTTTTCTCCATTGTGTTACATTAATAGTCAAATTCTTATTTAAATCTAATAAAAAAGTCAATTTTAATACTTTCTAACCAAACTTTTTAGGTCTACCTCTATCTTTCTTAACATAGATCAGATCTAATACATCTACACTCTCCTAACAAAGTTATCGAAAGGTCAACGTTTCATGTGACCAAACCATGTCTAATCTTATCTTTTCCATTGGATCTACTTAAACCTTCTCACGTACATACTCATTTTGTATTCTCTCTAAGTGTAAAGCCACTCATAGCATCCTCATCTCCGCAACACTTAATTTCATGCTTCTCTTTTAATAGTCAACATTCTGAACCATAAAATACTATACGTCTCACCACAATCCTAAAAAATTTCCCTAAAGTTTGAGGGGTACGTTTCTACCACAGAACATGCCCAATGCATTCCTCCACTTCAACCATTCAACTAATAATATTCACATCTATTTCACCATCACTTTGAACAATAAACTTGAGATATCTAAACTGTGTACTCTTTTTAATGACTTAATCAACCAATGTCGCAATCCCATCATTAGATATATTATTACTAAAATTACACTCCATGTATTCAATTTTAGATGTACATAAACGAAAACATTTAGACTTTAAGGTTGTCCTCCATATTTCAAGTTTTTCATTAACTCCCTCTCTATAGTCTTATCAACAAGAAGAATATCATTAGCAAAAAGCATACACCAAGATACATCCTCTTTCAAATGTCTAGTAAAGAACATCCATGACTAAAGCAAAAAGATATGGGCTTAAAACTAATCCTTGATGTAATCCAATTGAAATAGAAAAATATTTGGTCATACCACCTTATGTTTGAACACTAATAATAGCTCTTGTATAAATATCTTTAATGACTTGAATAAAAGCATTATTAACTCATTGTTTTTTTAGAACCCTCCAAGCCAAAATTTCTACCATCCCAAAACTTTCAAAGACTGAACAAACAACCTTGTAAAGCCCAAATGCATTGTCCAAGCTAATATGAAGCTGTATATTTTATTTTCAAAATTATTAAAAAATTTGTTTCAAATATTACCTAGGCATATAATCCATTAAAATCAATAAAACAATACATGCATGTGATTCAATAATTTTTTCAAGTCCATAAGAGAATCATAATGGAATAATATTCACGATTCTTTCATAAATATTGTTTAGCACAAGGGAATATAGAAATATTCTAGTTCATTATATAGAAAATTTTATGAGTTTCTGTTATTTGTTGTTGACAAGACATACATCGATCTGAACATCTACAATAGTCTTCGCCTGAACATGTGGCCTCATTTGCTACAGTATTCAAACTAAAGCCATGAAGTTATTTTTTCTCTAATTCATTAAGTCAACGTGATACAACACAAATGATGATGAAACTAAAGCAATGCAGGTCGATATTACATCATGCAAGATAAGGACCAACTATATTGGTCTCCATGAGAATCAAAACATCTCTTTAAACTTTCTGAGATTTCAGATTGCACAAAAACATTTTGAAAGCTACCTTCTTATGAAACATTCCTAACGTTTAGCTCAATGGCCACTCAATCCAGTAATCCTCACAATCCTTGCTGCTCTCCCTTTCTCTTGCTTTTTATGACCCCATTTGACACCCTTATCATTGATCTCCTCGTCATACTTTCCCTAGTGATCCCTACATAAATGTCAACCTTTAAACATTACAAATAGAAAGCCCTCTCCAACCACTAACCCAAGCAATCAATTATCTACCTTGGGCTTTTATCGTCCGAATCTACTACGTCATGAATCCCACATTGGAGTAAAGGATCCATCACAACTTGCTCAAATAAGAAGACTGCAAGCCTTGTAGCATTACTGCTACCTCAACATTAGGTCACATTATATGTTTTCAAGTCCTCATTGCCACTTCTTCCTTCAAGATTGTGAAGAATGCAAGCCTTGTATCTTTGAAGCTACCTCAAAATTAAGGCCCACTACTGGTTTCAAGTCCTCATCGCCACTTCTTCCTTCAAGATTGTGACTACACGTCCAAGGGAGAAAAAACACATAAAAACTATAATTTGATTGTGCTACAATAAGGTATCGTTCCCATTATCAGCGGAATACTTTCTTTTGTTAAGTGGTGAATCAAGTGTCATGCACGGTTCCTTGCTTTAAGATAAAATGTACGGACAATATGAAAAGAGATAAAATTCATTGAATTTTAAGTAAAAGATAAAATGTCTAAACAAATATAAAATCTTATATTTTAAATGAACAAACTTAAATTTTTAATAAAAACCCACTCATGGTGTTCGTTCCATTGTAAAACTCACACCATAGGGGCCAAAATGAAAGATTACACAAATCGGCTAGCCAATGTAATTCCCAGTTCC